CATTCAGCTCTTATAACTGTCCTTTTCCTCTATCAAAGAAAGGGAAATACCAGTTGTCTCATACTGGAAATCCTTCTTTTACCATCAAACCGTGGAAACCATTAGTATGTTAATAATTACAAAGGGTCATCCAAAAGTTCATGAAAAGTTTTGTATTATCTTTTATTTATATTTCTACACAAACTTTTTAAAGTACCCTCATATCAGGATACTCCCTTTTATTAATTAATTAATTCCTCACAGCTGCGTCTGCAGAGAGATCCCGACAGAACCCCTGAACCTCTGAGGCCACAGGGCCATTACTGAGTCCAGACCTGAGAGTCAGCATCACTGTGCTGCCATGTCATAATACCCGTTCAGACTGACCACTAGCAGTAGTTTCAAATCTGGTTTGCCATTCCTCTAATGCATCTTAACAGGCCATAAACTATCTAGGTTTATGTAGCATAGCAAGGGGGTGCAGGACAGTAGGGACAGCTGGCATGGCTGCCTCGGGGGAGCTCTCAGTGAGGGTCCTCAGAGTAGAACTGGTGGTACATGATGCCCATCATCATAGCTTTTTTAGAAACCAGACTAACTGGATGTGTGTGAAACTACCATAGGATAGGAAAATCTGCCTAAAGAGGTCTGATTATCTTGTGAAAGTCATTGAGCACAGCTTCCAGGGGCCTAAAAGAGACACATTTGGTTATATGATTCATTCTCTTCTTGTGGAAACCGAGATCTGTTATTAGCAACTGAAGTTCAAGTTCTATGTAAAGCCTTCCTGGTCAAAATGTGCTTTATATATCAGGCAAGTTTTCCTTCAAATACATAATGAGGACTACAAGAAAGCTGACATTCCATTTTCTTGTAACCCAGTAGGTTTCCCAAAGGGGAAAAAGAATACTAGGGAAGAATAAGCCAATATTGTCTTTACAGGAAAATGGAGCACAGGCCTGATGTTAACCCTTTGTTCCCACATATTCATTCTAATTCCCATCCCTGCCCCTCTTACCCCAATAACCTCTCACTCTCATCTGCTCTTCATTTCCTCCATCACCTTGTCCTGCAAGCTGCCACCACCTTTGTTTGAGCAACTGTGTCTCCTTCCCAATGGATCTTCCCACTGCCACACAGGAGCCATCTGATCTTTCACACCCAAGTGCAGAGCTACTTATACCCTTATTCTCCTCTGGTAATTAATATTGCTAATTTCTCATTGCTCTTAGAAAAGAGTCCCTAAATAGTACATGATTTGTGAAGTGTCACATTTTCTGGTTTCTGCAGGCTTATGTAGGTAAAGGTGTAGCAGCTCTGTGCCCACCAGTCACTCTGGCAATTTAAAACTAGAAAGTGCAGCATCTCTCATTGACAGGTTATTCACACATGCAATTTGTTCTACCTGTTACATTTGTCCTTTTCTCAGCCCATATTTTCTTCAGGTTCTTCACGATTCAGTTAAATCCTTATGTTCTCAAGTTCGAATTCTTGGATAACCCTCTGTTTTCCCATTATGTGACTTCCAAACAGTATGTATGTCTCTCTAGTGTTTATCAAGTCTGCTCTTTGTGTATATACATATGGCTG